ATGCAATTTATCTTTGAAAATGAGTTTTGAAGAAACCGTCGAGAGAAATAGAAAAATTAGAGGTTCGGTTCGTACCAGTGTAACAAAATTAATAAGGAAATTGGATGAGGAATTGCAAAGCGAGAATCCGAACCTAGAAGTGTTGCAGGAATCGCTTTCAGTGTTAATCGAGAGAGAAACTAGCTTGTTAAAATATGATGAAGTTATTAATGCTCAAAGCACTGTTCAGGAATTAGGGACAGAAGTAGAACATTGTTTAGAATACAGCGAATCCATCATTAGATGTAAATCGAAAGTCAATAGATATATTCAAAATGTGGGTAAAACCGGAACAACTTCACAAGTTTCGGAAATCAAAACTAATTATAATACTAAATTGCCTCGCATTACCTTAGAAACTTTCAGCGGCGATTTATGTAAATTTACTGAATTTTGGGCTCAGTATAAAGCTGCCATTCACGAAAACAATACGCTTCAAGATGTTGAGAAGTTTAACTATTTAAGATCTTTACTCACCGGTTCAGCTGCAAAAGCTATACGCGGATTACCATTAATAGGAGAAAAATATATAAAGGCCATCGAAATCTTAACTGACAGATTTGGGAATAAAGAAAAATTAGTTAGCGCGCATATGAACGTTCTCCTAGCTTTGGAGCCAGTGCGTCGTTCAAGTGATGTATCCAGTTTAAGAAAACTATATGATGAAATAACGGCTCAAACAAGAAGTTTAGAGACATTAGATATTAATTTTAATTCTAACGACAATCTATTACTTCCTATTTTATATAAGTGTATACCACAAGATTTAGGGTTACAGTTTAGTAGGGAGCAAAAGGTCGGCACAGTGTCAGATTTATTGTTGTTTCTAAAGAGAGAAGTAGAAGCGCGCGAAAAGCCATTAACTCTGGGTCTTAAACAACAAACACTTAAACGATAACCAGTGAAAGAAATACCGACAACTATCGTAAGTGTGTTGCTCCAATTAAAAAGAAAATGGTATCAGCGACGACGCTTAATACATCAGTCGAAAATTATATGTGCGACTTTTGTCTTAAATCTCACTTCTCAAAAGACTGCGCCTTAAGTATTTCAGAGAAACACAAAGCGTTATACAATCAATTTAAGTGCAAGCGCTGTTTAAAAAAGGGTCACAAAAAACCATTTTGTAAGGCAAAGTGGGTTAAATGTAATATTTGCAAATCTTTGTCGCATTTAGAGAGCCTGTGTGATGCAGATAGGCAAGAAAATAAATCCATTAAAAATACTGCTAGCTCAGCAAAAGAGAGAAATGTTTATTTTGTATTGCATGAAAGCATATTCGGTTGGACGTTGAGTGGTAGAGTGGGGTGAGAGAGTAAGAAGCTAAGTTCAGGGTTAGACTCCGGCTTGTTTATACACATCGATTCGTAAGAGGAATTAAAAATATCGGAACAGATTCATCAGCTTTGGGAGATTGATTGCGCGTTAGAAAGGAGTGCTGGCGATGAGCGAATAATTAAACAATTTGAAGAGGATTTGAAATATGTAGACGGGAGGTATGAGGCTCGCTTGTTGTGGAATAGGAGTCCAGAGCATTTGGAAAATAATTTTGGTTTAACGAAAAGGCAGTTCGAAAGGGTGCAGCGAGAGTTAAAAGTAACAGCTTTGTGAGGGAACAATTTATGGAAATAATTAAATTTCAGACTCAAAACAACATTATATATTATTTAAGATTTGTTTTTAAAATGGTGGAAAAGCACTTCTCCAGCTTTACAGAAAGCTTCTTTTATCAATTCCCCATCTTCGAATGGTTTTATCAAAACTTCTGTAATTTTAAACGACGCCAATGTTACTGCTTTAGCTTTGGTGCCTGGTCTTGTAAATAACGATTGCTGTAAATGTAAATTCGACTTTGATTCATGCACTTTAACTTTTCGAAGTTCACTGCCGATTGAAAAGTCTGTAGCGTATTTTAAGTGCTAAAATGTCTTTCGACGTTTGCCTTTTTCTTGGTAGTGCCACACTTGAGTTACATATGAGACAAACACATTTCTTCTTCACCATAACAAAAAAGAAATCATCTTCCCACTCATTGTGATAATGATATGTTTTACTTCTCTTAGCACTGGTACCTGGGTGAGTCATTTTGGATGAGTTGTTATAACAACAAATTATCGTATCAGTGCGGTAGGAAAGAGCGAGACGATTAACTGAGAACTGAAACTAAACGGGCGGGTGTGACGGGTAGACTTAGTCGACTCGCCGCGTCGCTATCATCGCGCCACCTACTGGATGTAATCTAAGCATCCCCACTTTGTCAAGTTGTTTCTATTTAATTCTCCACTGTAAAACGACAAATTCATTGTATTACTTTACACAGTTTGTTTTAGGTTTTAAAGCGTAAACTGTAGTAAATTTTGATTTTAAATAATTCATTAATTCTGTGTCATAAGTCTTAAATTAAATTTTTAATATCCGAGGTCATTATGGGGATGGTCGCGCGGACTACCTAAAATGTCTTCGCGGTCGGCCGTCGACCTCGGTCGACGTATTGGCCATCCCTGATATATAGCATTGTTCTAATATAAGTATTTTAACGCAAAATCGGATTTTTTCTGATATAATATGCCAATTGTTTTCTATATTTCGATTCTACAGCTCAAATTATGCCTGAATATTAGATCTTGTAAAATTTGGTGTGAAATTTGTGGAGAAATTCGAAAATTTATCTTTCCACGTTTTTTTAGTTTGCGCCGAGAATACTTCACTTGCGAATTTCTTGGTACATGGCGACCTATTTTCCTGTCCCTTTTTACTTTTGCATGATTGAAAAAAAAGTCACTTCATTCCTACTTTCAGTTAATTTTAATAAAGTGCCTAAACCGCATTTGATGTTATTATCGCTTTCAAAAAATATGCCGAATTTCAAAAGGTACCAATATATCAATGCACATATATCTTCGGAAATTTTGATTAGAAAACTCTAAACTTTATGCTTAGAAATACATCTACTTTAACTCTTTGATGCACACGATATTATTTTTATAATTTTTTTTAACTGAAAACTCTAAAAATTGAATATTATGATTCTTGAGACAAATACAGTATAAAGTCTTTAATCGAGACGTCCACAATCCGGAATAATCTATAATCCAGACCTCAAAGCTACAAATTTTCTGCTCATGCGTAATTGCATAATGTGTTTACGCATGCGCATAGAATCTTTACGCATGCGCATGTGCGTTTAATGTATAACGGACGGTATAAGCTAGGCTAAAATTAAATAATTATCTATTTCAGTTAATGTTGCAGATTGCGTTGTTCCTTAATCTTCTAATTGGATCCGGGTTATTATTTTTTGCAGACTGTTAGAGCAATTTAAAAAAAGTAAGCTTGAACTTTCGATTATGTCAAAAAGAGGTTCTGATTCTGGAGCTGACAAATGATCTACAAAGCGAAAGCATGTTTCGATGTCCCTCAAACAAAAAGTGGAATTGCTGCAAAAAATGAATAAAGGCATGAAGAAAGTGACAGATTGACAAGTTAGTCGGTATTCTCGGAACAGCAATTACAGGACTTGAACAGCGGAACTTTGTAACTGAACAAGAAATTATGTTTGTTTATAGAAAAAACAGAGAAAGTATTGGCACATAAAACGAAGCAACTTAAACAACTTACATTGAAAGAAATGTTTAAGTAAACAAATAAATATTAAGCTTTTTATATATAAATTTTGATACCCTTTAGATCATAATTGCTCTTTATTTCATAAATTACGGTTTCATATTTTTAATTGTATAATTTCTGCATGCCATCTTACCAGATTTAAATTGATGATCTATAATCCGGAAAACCCCTAATCGCCGAAGTCCCGACGAGTCCGGAGTAAAGACTTTGTACTGTATTTATTTATATATTTATGTAAAACAGGTTTTGTGTGCCTTAAACTTTTATGCTTCAGAAAGTTACCAGAGATACGTAGGTAATGACCGATATATTGAACTGAGTCAGAAATCTGTCAGTTGGTGTATTCGAGAAGTCACAAATGCTATTTGTTCTGGCCTTTTCAACAAATGGATTAAATTTCCGATAAATGGTTTCCAACAAAACAAAATTAAATTAGGATTTAATCAAAAGTTTGGATTTCCTGGTGTCATCAGTGCTGTAGATGGCACCCACGTAGCTATAAATGCACCGAAAGACACGGAAAAATGCCAAGAGTTCGTTTATATAAACAGAAAATCATTCCAATGTGCAGTATAACTTTTCCTTCCATTTTACATAATATATATGTGTGTCTGTGCGCATTTATATGCAAGAGGATATATTTTGTGATTTAACTCCAGTTATATAATTTTTTTATTTTCCTTTACTTTTGTGAAAAATTTCTGATATTTTTATTCACTAGTAAATCGCTCTTTAGTGGATCATTCCAAAATTAATTGTTATCGTATGATTCATACATAATGCTGCTGGCACACATACTAACAAGGTAGTAAATGTGAACTTTTTTTCTCATTAGTATTCAAATCAAAACTTTATAAAGGAGTAATAATGAAGTGATACTATATCTGCCTATTTAGAACTACATCATTTTTAATGCAAATACCAGTTATCACTATTTTGTTCTCCCACATGTTCAATTAAAACACGGTTTTTTTTAATCTCTTTATTCACAACTGTACTGTTATAAATATATAAAATGTGTTGAAATTCTTAAACTGTGTTACGTACTTGCAGTATTTGGATTACTTCATTGTGCTTAATATTCTATGGATTATGCTGAAAGAAAAATTACACATGAAAGTGCAAGAATTAATTCTCAAATCAAAACTTTATATATTTTTATTAAACAGCTTCATCAAGTCACACTCTAAATTTTAATCGCACACATAAATTTGCCAAATAGTATATGTAACTGCTTGCTTGAGGTTTTATATCCTATTAAAATTACACAGACATGTTATTGCATATTATGATTTATTTACCTAATTACACATCATAACAAATTACTTTCATATTGCAGAAAAGTGAAAATTGCACCTTAAATACCGCAGAATTTTATTATGCAAAATGAAAAGAAAAAATTAGTCTTAACCTATGCTTCAGAGACGTGAACTCTGACTATGAGGGCAGAAAGAACCTAGGTGATCTTTGAAAGGAAAATTAAGGGCTGTCCTGGCAATGCTGATGATGAAAGTAAGTAAAACTAACGTCTGTCTGAATACTTGAAAAATCTCAATAATGAGATATTTTTCCTACTCCCTGAAAATGCAGGGCATATTTTCTGTTACTCAAGTAGTGTATGTGATGATGCAAAATATTAGATTGTTTGCATAAAATAATACAGTCAAAAGTGTTTAATCTGGACTTATCGGGACTTCGGCGATTCCGGATTATAGATCATCAATTTAAATCTGGTAAGATGGCATGCAGAAATTATAAAATTAAAAATATGAAACCGTAATTTATGAAATAAAGAGCAATTATGATCTAAAGGGTATCAAAATTTATTTATAAAAAGCTTAATATTTATTTGTTTACTTTATTAAACATTTCTTTCAACGTGCGCATGCGTAAAGCATACATTATGCATAGTCGAAATTAGAAAATTGCAACCAAAAAACTATTTGATGTGTATTTGTGATATTTATAACGACGAGGAATTTGATTTAAATCATATCAAAGACGGAGTACATCGAGATGAAATACTACATTTAGTAAGGAATTATAAGCCGAATAAAATAAATCATCTGCCCTGAAGATGAGGATAGTGCTGACAGATCAACTTTTAAATCATTGCGCGCCGCGAGGTCCCCCCACGCAGAGCAGCGTGAAATTGATAAATAGATTTCGGAATGGTTAGAGAAACAAAGGATATGCCTTTATCCATTTTTTTGCGGCAATTCCACTTTTTATTTGATGGACATCGAAACATGCTTTCGCTTTGTAGATCCTTTGGCAGCTCCAGAATCGGAAATTTTTTTTGACATAATCGAAAGTTCAAGCTTACTTTTATAAAATTGCTCTAACAGTCTGCAAAAAATAATAAGCCGGATCCAATTAGAAGATTTGGAACAACGCAATCTGCAACAGTAACTGAAATAGATAATTAGGTAATTTTAGCTTAGCTTATACCGTCCATCATACATTAAACGCATGCGTAAACGCATGTGTATTATGCGCATGCGTAAAGGTATTATGCACATGCATGCGCAGAAAGTTCGTAGCTTTGAGGTCCGGATTATAGATCATTCCGAATTATGGACGTCCGGATTAAAGACTTTTGACTGTAATGTAGTATTTCACCTATTAAATTCAGGCAAAATGCTTATCACTCTCAAAAATTAAAAGGAGTGGTCAAAGCCATAAATACTGCAATTGCTTTGTTGAAATGGAATGATTTGGCTGTATCAGTGTATGCATGGGCTTTCTGTGGTTGCAATTTCAGTACTAACATCTCTGACTTACTGTCTACTTTAATGGAAACTTTGCAAAATTAATTGTTCTAATCCATTTCTAATCTTGAAAACCTGTGGATCACTGAGTGATCCATTTGAATTCCAATAATAATGTGTAATATACATAAAAATAAATTACAAAACATACATATGAAACAAACACTTGAAGATTACATAAAAAAATTTAACTGAAAATAAATAATACAGTAAAACGTTGTTTATGCATCTCTAAAAATATAAATAATCGGTTGGAATTTGATCAGTATATCGTGTTATGCTTCAAATAATAAGAAGAAATGCTTACCAGCAAGTGTCGGAATTCGATAGTGGCAGGATCGTTGCCTAGCGAGAGTGTGGATTATCATTCCGTGATATCGCCCGTCGCACTGTTGACATCCAAACACAGTCTGTGAATATAAAATCAATGGGTTGCTGAGTGTCATACTGAATAGCATGCAGCATCTCAACGCCCTCCCATGACTAACGCCCGAGAGGACAGATATATTGTGAGGTCAGCCCTGAAAAACCATATAACCATATCACGGATCATTAGTCAGGAAATGGGCATGTTTGCAGCATGCCCAGTATCCGTTCATAAAGAGCGTCGACTTTGCAGCAGCGTGGACTATCAGCACGGCGATCATTTCTTCAACTACCCTTAACAATGCAGCATAGAGACAGATGACGACTTTGGTACATTGGACAATAAAGCTGGATACAGGTGTGGCACAGTGTCATCTTTTCAGATGAGTCCCGGTTCTGCATACAGTAGTCTGATCCAGGACTTTGAAGAGAAGGGCCAGCTCATAGAGCTTTTCCCCCTGAAGCAGAAAATGAGAAGTGATGACGTAGCGATGATGACGCTGAGCGCGCCAATATAATTCACGGCTTGGAAATTAGCGTTTTTGAACCAGCGTTTAAAATGAGCTGTGTGTGAAAGATAGCTATAATTTGGAAGAGGCAATGTTACTGCTTTATGCATTTTAGACTGAACCATTAAAAAATTTAATAATGCTTATTCAATTTTAAAATAATAGATAAAATGTGCTACTCTTTTAACATTAAGTTTCGTGGTTTTTTTTAAATTTTTATTTGCAAGTTTTTTTATTTAATGCACGTTTATTTCTAATCATTTCTTTATTTGCATGCTAACTGAGAGAATTTTTATACTGCTTCTAAGATAACTATAATAGCAGCTATTTAAATTTACTCAAAAAAAAAAAAAAAAAAAAAAAAAAAAAAACTTTACATTGACATAGGTTTAAACATATATGGCAACATTTCTGCTAACCTAACCTACGTTTGATTTTTTGCCTAATTGTAAATTTTACATTGTTATAATTCTTTTTGATTCAATATAATAGATATTTTTTAAAATAATTTTGTAATTTATACTTATACCTATATTACAATTAAATAAATGTATATAAGATTCTTTCTTACCTTAATTTTGACAAATAGCTTTATATTTTATTCAGAGTACCTAAAACAGTTATTTATTTAATTTTTCAAAAGTGTGAGTAAAGGAAGCAGGTTTTTTTATGCCAATTACTTTGATGTTTTATACTATTATATTTTATCTAGAATGCTAATCTAGCACAAAATCTAATCAATAATTAGTTACAAGGGATACAATAAGAATAACTTTAACAAGTACTTAACAAAATTAGTTTGTTAAGTACTTGTTATTCTTGTTGGTACTATTTTGGTACTATTCATAATACCGAAAATATTATCGATTAACTCATAGAAGTCAGATGCTTTCTGATTTCCTGTGGGGTAGAGTATACCTTTCGCGGTACTTTTTGAAAATAATGTTTTCTCTGGAGCGACTTTTTGTTTCTCGTTTCCCTTGACCATTAAATAATTTGGTTTCAGTTTGTGACACAATTTGATTTCTTCTCAATCTCTATTTAAAACCTCTTTAATAATATCAAAATTTAAAATAGTTACATCTTCTAAAACAAATCCTCTCTCTAACACGCGGTTTCTCAGTAATTTGAGGCAGAGCGCGAAATGAGACCTCTGATTAAAACGAACTGCTCATTTTTGAAAAGAACCAATTGAGTCCAGTTTAGAGTCATAGCAGAGTTTTCAATCTATATGCATTTCGTCGAAACTGAGAACGCATATTTTTTCTACAGAATACAAATATTCGCCTCTTTCCTTCTTTAGAGTAAGAACATTACTTTGAATTCTTGGGCTACACTAAAATTTAGAAAACACTAAAAAATAAAATAAAACCATTTCTTTAATTTGATAATACTAGGTAAAGATATTCCAATTTTTTTTCTTAATTTTTTTTTCTTTCCCAAAATCATAGCTTTAAGATGACAGAGCTCTTATGACGATGCAACGTGAAATATTTTCACTAGTCCACCTGATTTTTTTTTTCTTTTTCAGTAATGCATAATCTGCGTCTTTATAAAAATAGGCTTTAGACATTTTTCCAAATTCTCCGATTTGTGCCCCCCCCCCCCGGAAATTTTCGCTATTTGAGATTTTAATTTCTGATACCAATTTCTGTCTAGATGTTCGTCCACTTTCTTTGTCGCTGAACAAACAATTCTAAAATTTTTCTTTTCTCTATTTTTCAATACTTTAATACAGTTTAATACAATTTTCTAAGGATATTATTTTGTTCTTCAAATTATCAATGCATTCTTGTTTATCCTTAAACATTCAGGGATGATTCAGGACTACATTTTCATTTGTGAGTTTTATTTCAAAATCATTAAACATTTGATTTAATTATTGTCATCATCAATTTCGATTTATTATTGTCATCATATTTACTTTCGGCACAGCATTCCATTTCAACAGTTTCTTTTTGTGGCTATCCAAACAAGCGATTTTTCATATCATCTTCATAAACACTGCATAGAAAATGTTCGCTGCAGATTTTTCCGCTCTTCACATTAATAGAATCTTCTCGTTGATATTTGTGTATCCATTCTTTCGTCAAAAGCAAACTCTCATTTGGATCCTTTGGTCCCATGAAATAAAATATCTCATCCTTTCATACTTCTGTAAGTGCTACGGCTCGAGTGTAAAAATTACATAATTTTAAAATAATATTAGTGTTTAATATTATTTTAAAATTAATTTTTTAAAATAATATTAAACACTAATGAACATGAAGTTATATAATATTTTAAAAATAATATTAAATCAGTATGAAGATTTCATGTGACCTCGTTTTATTTCAGATTTGATGACCACCAATGTCAATGCGAAATTTTCTGGTAGTTCCCATGATTCATTTGTGTGGCGATCTTCAGAAGTTCGGCATGCACTTTCCATGCATCAAGAAACTGGCTCTTGGCTTTTAGGAAAGCAATTTTTTAGTTTTGTGAGATATATAAATTGAAATCGTTTTGTGTCAGTAATTTATGTAAAGTTCCATTGTTTTTCATGTGGTATATATCTCTCTCGTTAGTATATATTAAGTATTTAGTACTTAAGACTTTAATTGCAAAGTATTTTAAAATAAATTACTTTTCAGAAGTGTGAAAAAAAAATTCAATACTTCAGGTGATGCATTCTATCCTTTGGAACCATGGTTGTTGACTCCTGTGTCTTCTCCAACTGTAGGATGTGCTAATGAAATGTATAATAAGAAGCATGCAACAGCCAGAAGCTGCATTGAAAGATGTATTGGGGTTTTGAAATCAAGATTCCGCTGCCTACTGCATGCAAGAGAATTAAATTATGAACCAACAACTGCTGGGAAATTGCAAATGCCTGTGCAGTGTTGCATAATATTTGCAGGCATTACAAATTACCTGATGTTGAAAATGATTGCAGAGAAGAACCATGGGGACCAATTCCACTAACAGTTTTTGAAACATCATTAAGAGCTGCTGCTCTTAAAATCAGAGATAATTTAATTTTAACACGATTTTAAAACTAATGATAATAAATATTTTAATTGAATAATATGTATTTGATTCAGATTTTGAAGTTATAGAAGCACAAATAATACACATCCTAAATATTTTTCTTTTTTAATATTAAATCAATTTTATTACAAAAATACACATTAGAGTTATTTTAGATTTTGTTTTCTCATTTGAAAATTTATTTTCTGATTATCAGTCTTAACTTTTTTATTTTTTAACTGGAAAATTTTTTTCTGTCCACGCACAATGATTTTCTGCAGCCATTGCACTCTTATGTTGAGCTATTTTAGCTACTTTCTTCTTGATTGAAAATTTGTAATCTCTTCATGTCTACATACAGCAGATATATTGATGAAATTTATGATTTGTATTTTATCCGAGTCAAAAATAATTGCTGATAAGCTCATGTTGTATTTTGTCACACTTCATAGAACTTTATACATGTAGTGACATTGGTGTAATTTAAATATACAATACTTTTTTTCATATAGTATAATAATAATATTTTCTAACCTGTTAATCATTCGTGTGTAAGTACTCCTATGCATGCTTAAAAAAGGAATCATATAAAACAAGATCATATTCATAAGCATGCTATACAGAAAGATACACTCTAATAGAATGATAAAAGTAAATTTATGTTGTGTAACGTGCACATGATTTGTAGTAATATTCCCAAGCATTAGCAGTTTATGGAATTCATGGTAAATCAATAGTACTCAGATTCAGCTTTCTGCTTGACCTGTCAATTCCAGCATACAGGCAGCTAATACAATTAGGTTGATTAAATTTTAAAGATAAATGAAATATTTTATATTAAGAAACAATTTATACAAATGTTCTAAATATTTTGAACAATTATATCATTGACTAAATGAACTGTAATTAGTGGAAAGAATAAACCCCTTTCCATAGAACACATTTTGAAAATCTTAGAATCATAGAAAACAACTGAGAATTTGGCTAGCACAAATATGGAGTCATGTTCAGATTGTTCCTTTTTTTAATAATATCAGAAAGTGACTTCGTTCCTTACTGTTGAATTTTGTCTTCAATTTATTGTCACAAGAGAATTCAATAAGATTTTCTTCTGGAGAAGTAAATACAGATAAAAGTTTGGCTCTGAAAAGACCTGGAAATCTATGCAAAGATGTAAATATATTATGTTTTTTAACATTTCTGACACAACATTCAGAAAAAAAAATAGTTAATAACATCTAAAATACATAGTTTACCTGTAGTTACGTTATTGGTATAATTTATGAATAAATAAAATCATTGATATAATCATCAGTTGCTAAAAATTCTAATTCAATAGGAATATTAACCACGGGTACACGATGCTATACTTCAATTATTTGATTTATGACATTGTTGAATAACCTTTTAAGACAAAAAACAAATATTTTTAACATAAAGTTCCTGTTAACAAATAGTTTACAAAGATGTAAACTTTTCAAATATTTCCATTTTGCAAAAGATCATATATAAAATTATACTTACTTTCCTCCACATATCTGCAGTTTTGGAAGGGCCAGTTCCTTCTGCATTTAAAATATCCATTAAGTCTTCCCATTTTTTTTCCTATTCTCTTTATTAAATGTGCTGTCAATTTTTCCCGCTTAACAGCTGCGGATATTTTTCGAAAAATGACACCATTAATTCGAATTGGTTGGTAGTTGTTTTTTTCGCTGCTGCCATTTTCTGTGAAGCACGTGCGAAACAGCCTTTTTCACAACAAACTACCTCCTTTGCCTGAGCCTCGAGCGATGTAGAAGTGAGAGAGACTGGTTGCTATGCAATAAACGTCACTTCCGGACGGAATTTCCACTTCATTTTCCATCGACCGAATGAGATACATTCCGGAAGAGAAGAATGACATTGCTTGTTTGCATTAGCTGTACTTAAGTCATGTGATCTCTGAGGTCATCTGCATTGTCTGTTCACAAAAGGTATACATAAGTCACGTTATCTATGAGGTCAGCGGAATGTACCTCATTAGGAGGGGTCAGACCAAAGCCAATTAGATATCTAGTTGGCCTTGGTGAGACTCACTCTCCCGTTTGCTATCGAGTGGAAAGAGAATCCCGACTGGTTTTCCGATATCGATCTCGACAGGTGTCCAGACTAGACCCCTTAGACTTGATGAGGCCCTAAGCTATTTGAGATATGGGATCCTTTATTAGTCTGTTTTACTACATTTTAATACTATGTTTATACTATATTTTAAATTCTTGGGGTTTGTTTAGCTTGTACGTAAATCCTGCACTGCCCGCGCTAGGTCGGTTATAAGACAGCTGATTTGGAAATGTGTGAAATGTCATCATATACGTGCTAAAACATCTACCCAGATAATGTCGGACATACCATCATCTAGAATCGTTTCGCAGAAGGGTTTCTTCAAAGCTGGAATTGATTACGCTGGTCCTTTTCAAGTCAAGCACAGGCAAGGACGAGGGACAAAACGAATGGAACGCTATTTTTGTGTATTCTTCCTTATGTTTTACTAGAGAGCTGTGCATATTGAATTAGTAGGTAATCTAACGTCAGAATAATTTAGAGCTGCTTTAAAGCGCTTTGTATCTCGGAGAAGAAAACCGATAGAAGTGCATAACGATTGTGGCGCGAATTTTATTGCTGCTGATAAGGAATTGAAAAGAGTAATAAATTCTTTGAAGGAAAATGAATTGGATAATAAATGGGAAGCTGCTGTCAAATCTACAAAGCTCAAGCGAATCGTAGAAAGAAGACAACTTTTGACGCAGGAAGAATTTACGACACTGATAGCTCAAATTGAAACTTGTTTAATTTGAGTCCAATGTCTGAAGATCCATCAGAATTTTTTTCACTGATACTGGGCCATTTTTTAATTTGCACACCGCTAAATGCATTACCCGAAGAAAGTTTACAAAATCGAAAAATTTCCATTTTATAACGCTGGAAGCTTGTTGAGAAAATGCTTCAAAATTTTTGGAAAATATGATCCAATGAATAGATTTCTAATTTACAACGACGTACAAAATGGTTTAAAGTGCAACCTAATTTAGAGATCAATGATTTAGTTATCATAAAGGAAGACAATTTATCACCTCTACAATGAAAATTAGGAAGAATTCTGGAAAATTTTCCTAGCGCAGACAATATTGTGCATTGCGAAGCTCAAAACTGCAAATGAAGGTTTCAAAAGGCCAATTCACAAGACATTGGTTAACATCCGTCGAAATTTGCGAGAAAGAACTTCACATGTCACACACTACTGTCATTGACTGGAATAATTAATTATCTACGGGAAATTTGGACCGAAGACGTTTTGGGCCAAGAATGGAAAAAGTTAGAAGGACCACGGCAAATTGTCGAAGTCGACGATACTCTTTTCACAAAGAGTAAAATAACACTGGGCATATTTTCCCGCCACAATGAGTTTTTGGAATAATTTGGCGCGATACAAAAGATAGTTATTGTTCCAAATAGAAGGCCAAAGTGTTTGCTCAAATGTGTTCAAGAAAACGTAATCGAAGGGTCCATTATGTACTCCGACTGTTGGAAGGCGTATAAGACGAATGTACTCGAAAAAGCAGACTTTTACCACTTTAAAACAAATCACAAATTCAGCTTTGTAGAACAATAAACCGGTGTTCATATGCAGAAAATAGAGCGCCTATGGGAATTAGCCCCAAAACGGAATAAACAATAACGCTGAACAGGCTGATGACATTTACCATCATATTCAGCAGAATTAGAATGGCGAAAGAAAAAATAAACAAAAAGGATTCATTCGAATCTGTCATCGAAGCGATTGTTAAACAGTTTCCTCCAGAAATCAACATTGACGTCTGAGAAAGCCAATGAAGCTTATGGCACTAAATAATAATTATTTAATCTCTTGATATTGTATATATTTTTTAATATTTATTTTGGGCACTTTACAGAATGTAGGCTAGATTATCAACAATTTGGAAATTTGTTTAGATGGCGGGCACGTATTGGTAAAGTACCTTATTTTCTTTCAACAAATATTTGTGAAATTCTTTACACACCATGTATTTGAAATTATAGTTCACCATAATGATCCCTTTAAAAAAAGAAATTGCGAGATTTACTTCTTTTATCCACTGAGTGTTGATTAGAGAAAACACTCTTTTCGTTTGCTGTATTACTGCTTGGTACTGGGAAAAAATGACAAATTTACTTCACTGAATTTACTAGTTGACTGAATGTTTTGATGCTATTGCTGTTTACACCACTGCTTATTGAGAACTGAATTTTATTGAACACTAGAAGTTGTGACATATTTTTGAACACCAGAAAACTGATAAAAAATCATACCTATATAGATACTCCAGACGAAGAAATAACTCCATCAAACTCTCTTTGATTACTCCATAAGAAACACTCAGATAATTTTTCATTTTTGCGGGTAGTCAATACATGCTTCATAAAAATCTAGAATTGTTTTCTGGAAATGCATTACATTTTATTTTTAAATCATTTTAAAATATTGTTTTAATTTTAAGGTCAAAAATTTATTCTCAATGGCTTTCAAAGAAAACGGAGTCTACCCCTTCAACGGAAATTTTCTTCTAGCTGTAGCAGAAATTTTGTCATCAAAAATATGCATGTTAGAATGAAGAAATTACAGCAAGTTATTACAATTTATTATCAAACAAAGTTGTTAACAAAGTAAGGAAAGATTTACAAGCCTAGAAAGAAACAGCCTTTAGTCACTTAACTGCTGGAAATAAAGTCAAACTGTCTAAATCTGATCTTGCTGTGAGATGTTGATAGTTGATTTCAATATGTTCACAAAAGTTTTTGAGTTCTGTTCAAATTGTATATGTATATATATATATATATAGGAAAATAACTGAAAATTTTATGAACTATACAACTCCCTAGGAATGCATCAGCACCATGTTGAAAACAATAATACTTATTATGGGTTTACATAAATTAAATCTTTATTTACATTCTTTTTAAAATCAGAAACTATATTCCTTCTAGTCTTCTGAGTAAAACTCCCAAAACTCACATCTATGTTGGCATCACTGAAACTAATACAGTGTAACGTCCTTAAGCTATTTCTATCGACAATCTCGGAAGTTCTAAGAAAAAGAATATTTCTAACGACCACCTTGGAAGTTCCCAGGGAAAGAGTATTTCTTAACGAATCTTCGGAAAGATGAACTTAACCCGCAGTCACAAACCAATTTCAGTTTTTTCCCCTCTTATAGTGGTCCGAAGGAGAGACATTGTTCCTTTCCTTTACATCCGTTTATAGGTGCATTGTCTCAGACCACCTACTTTG